GCACTAGATGGCTACCCAAAACTCCAACCCAATCTTCCTCAGATCGCAGCAGCAACGCAAAATACTTTTGAAGAAGGGGATCATCATCAGAGAAAGAGGCATTGATTGGAGCAAATATTAATTATGCGCAGCTACTAACAGCATTTTCGCCCACTCCACTGTAGACCTGATCAACCAATATCACCATGGCGCAGTCACCAGCCACCACAACCACGACCACGCCGTCCCTTCCACGCCGCCAGAGAGAGAGAGAGAGAGAGAGAGAGAGAGAGAATGATGTCGAAACTGGAACGAGAATGAAATTAGGGATTGTGGTGTATATAAATTATTTTTTAGTTTTATAATATTATTATTAATATTGAAAAATGAAAAATTATCTGATTTTTGAAAAGAAATTCTTTAAATCTGAAATTTGAAATTGAATATTTTAAATACTGGTTTTTTGTAATTTTCACTATATAAAACCTAGAGATAGATATTTGAAAAAAAAACTATATATACACACACACACACCCGAAGATTCATGCAGGAAGGGGGAGGCGCAGAAGAAGGTAGAAAAAAAAGAGAAAGAAAGAAAGAAGAAAAGAGAAAGAGAATGATAAGGAGAAGAGAGAGAGAGAGAGAGAGGAGGCGCAAAGGAGGAAAATGAGGAAAAGAAAACGAAATTGCAAATATCATAAATTTTCACGTTTGATCATTTTTTGGTAAACTCTTTCTACTTTTGCCCTTTTTTATTTTTACAGTATAAATAACTAATTTTTATATTATAAAAAACAATCTAGTCGACCTGTGATCCTTTATTTATTTTTATTCAAGATTTCTGTGATTTATTTATTTATTTATTTATGTGTTGATTTTATTATGAGTTTAAAACATTCAATTATTTGATCAATAATTTGATGATTATGTGAATTTTTTACGAATCGAGAGGTAAGTTTGAGATTTAGACCATATAATAAAATTCGGTAAATTAGTATAACATGTAGAGATATCTATACTGATTATTGCGGTCATAGTTTGAATTTTTAGAACCATTGTTTCATTTAACTAAATTTGATTCGTATAGAGATATGAAATTTAATTAGTTAAATAAGTTTAATGAGAACTTGGGAGCAGTAAATTGAATATAATAGAAGAATTCGATCAAACACTACATTAGATTATGAATCTTGAATTAAGAATAACGGTGATCAATAGATGAAATTGTTATTACCTAATATTTATCACATACTTGTTTCTTAAATTATCCATTGTTTACAATCATTTTATATTTTCAATTAGTTAAAAATAGTTAGAAAAAATAATTACAATCATCATAATTATTTGTTTTTTTATCAAATAGGAGTTAGAAAAATTAGAATAAATCATAAAGTATAGTTCTCGTGGGAACGATAATTTGAACTCAAAAGTCCATTATATTACTTGTTACGATATCGTACACTTGCGATATAAAAAACAACAAGTTTTTGGCCTTAATTTATTTTATTTTTAAATGTTATTTACTTTTCTTTGTTTTCTTTTTTATATCATTTAACTAACCTCCTACAGTTTTAATTTATTTTGTGTTGGCATTCTCTCTTTGTACTTTTCAGATATTTATCATGATTCTGACATTGGTAAATTAAAAAAAAATTGCAATGAAAAATCTCTACATGGATTGTCAAGATATGCTTGGAGGATATCCAAGTTGTGCAAATTGTTACGCTATGCATTGTACTAGAAAATGATTGTTCTCTAGTTTACACACGCTGAAACTTCTGAGATTTCTAAAATATTTGATGTGTAGAAAACAAGCAATTGAAAAATATGATGANAGAAAACAAGCAATTGAAAAATTTGATGAAAAGTACATGCTCATGTGAGATTTTTCTACTTGATGATTGGGATGAGAGCATGTGTAGAAAACAAGCAATTGAAAAATCTGATGAAAAGTACATGCTCATGTGAGATTTTTCTACTTGATGATTGGGATGAGAGCATTAAACTTGTAGGAGATGATCCTCCCCTATTGAACGAAAAGGTACTTGCACTGTACTTCAAAGAACTTGCCAAGTTGGATTAAAACGATATGCTCATGGGAGATTTCATGTACTGAGAATGATTTCAACAATAGGGGTATAATCCATTCAAAGGAGTCAACGAAACTGACTTCTCATTGTCTCTGGATCTAGATTGTGAATCGATCATTCAACCCAAAGATATATCAACTATGGAAGAAAAGAGTAAAGAGAATGACGTCTTGATCATAACAGAATCAAATGAGGATGTGGCAATCAATGAGAATGAATCAACTCACATTTTTCCGACTTTATTAATTGTCCAAAAAATGATTTTGTGATTAAGTCCGATGTAAGAGTGGAAGTTTACATAATTGAAATTGAATCGGATGAAATAGAAAAGTCTTATTACATCAAAAATGGCAAGGTAAAAGTTTGGAGACTAAATGAAAAATGGATCAAAGCCAAATGAAAGAAAATGGATAAGACATCCAAAGCCTTCTTTAGGTGCTCGTGATTCAATTGTCAAAGTCGAGTTAAAAACTATATATATAAAAAAGCGCTTCTTGGGAGGCAATCCAACCCAAGTTAAAATCAACAACGAATTTTAGTAACATATTTTATGAAATTCATAACTTTTATCAATTTTTTAATCACGTATCTTATCGACTTATTTTAAAAGATACTAAAAATCTTATCTTAGCAAAATAAAAAAATGGAATAAAAAATAAAAAAAGGGAATAAATTGCAAAGGACAAATAAGTTGTTTGTCATAATTTGTTTTGACAAATTCTGATATTGATTTTAGAATATTGCTATGTGTACATGCGCGGGCCCCACCCCTCTCACATTATGTATACCCCTATGTACCATGCTATGTACATAGCATGGTCCTTGATTTTAACACCCTAGGTTTGAAAATCTTTTAGTTTTTTATGTACTTTGACTAGAAAATCACAAAAAGTAGAGTCCTTTTGGTACTGCGTGTTTAGTAATTCTTTAATTTTATTTGTAGTCCCGTTTGAACAACATTATTCTTAAAATTCATTTTTTCAACACTTATTTTTAATCATATTCTTTTATAAAATAAATTTATACGTAAATTCAAAATTTTTTCTTATTTCTCAACCTCACATTCTCCAACTTTTTATTATTAAAAAATGTATTTTCTTGGTAAAATGGAGTCCAAATAGGGGAATAATAAACCTATCAAATATTAATCTAAATATAAGATAAATGCAAACTCATGAAAATAAATGTTAATTATTATACACGTATGTAAATAGTGAAATGTATATTTGAATGTGAGTATTATACTTACATTGATATTCCTCTTTATGAATAATTTATAGATTTACCAAACCATTTGAATATTTCATCTTCTCCTATATATGGGGAATACTAAAAATAAGGAAGCATATTGTTTAGGTTAACGTGGAATAGGATTGTGCTATTACATTTTTACAAAATGGTGTACTCACTCTCACAAAAAATGCGGGCCCCATGTGAATTCAAAAATGGCAGCTGTGTGGTCCCCACTCCTTTGTGTGTCACTAGTAAATGAGTTTGTAAACCATTTTGTGCTTCTAACATTGTCCATGTGGAATATGTAGGAGCCTCTAATTTAAGGTTTTATTTATTTTGAATGATAAACATATTAATAATTACATTTTAGGCCGTATTAGGTTATATGATGATCAAGTTTTACATGTATTGCTGGACGAATAATATAGGGGTAAAATTCAAATAAAACTTGGGCCCCGAAGGGGTTTATGTTGGGGATTGAACCAATACAATATACACAAGCAGCGGAAACAATTCCAATCCCTCAATGTGCAGAATTTAAATGACAAGAATAATAGCTAGCTTCAACCAACTTACACACACTAGCAAGAAAATAAATTGACCACCGAAATTTTGTTAACGAGGAAAATCCTGTGAAGGGAAAAACTCCGGGACCTAGTCCAGTAAAAGCCTTCCACTAGAAAATAATGGGATACACAATAAACCTCTCAAGAACACACTCTTGAGGCTACCACAACATCAAGAATTCATCTAATTCTTGGATATCAACCACAACAACATCATAAACCAAATACACACTATAAAATGGAGAAAAATCTCACTAAGCAGTATGCAAAGCCCGGAGAAATGGAGAGGAGTTAGGACGATTAGCTCCAGTCAAAATGTAGCTATCTTCGCCATGAACAACATACTAAAATATCAGTAAAATCGGACCTCAAATGGACCTCCAATCTATGGCAAGATGGAAGCTAGAACTGTAGCTTTTTTCTCTCTCTCTCTCTCGTTCTCTGCCTGGTTCTGTGTATGTGTATATTGTGTTAAATTTTTGGTTCCCTCCTAATTTGTTATGGTTAAACATGGTCTTAGGCCTTAGGATGAAGAAGCCCAATACCTCTTAAATGGGCTCCCTCACCATGAGGGAATACCCAACAAATCTCCCCCTCCCGACTAC